GGACTGCATGTCCTGCAGAAACATGTCCTTCACAAACTCCCAACCAGCAACGGGAAATTGCTGGCCTCAGATGGTCAGGGTCACACTACTTCAATTAATGAAAATGGAAATGGCAACCTGGCTTGGCACAGGCCAACACAGAGGACCATTCTGGGCTCTCGGCCATCCTTCTACAAGCAGGGCCCAGAGAATGAATCTTTGAGCCGGCTGTGGGGACAGAAGAACGGGCATCGTGTATGTACCCTATTACAGTTGGCCTACTTGCACTGTGTCGGAGAGTGTGAGGGCCCAATCAAGGAGCAGAAAGTGTCCCCACAGACATGCTAACTCAGCCTTGACTGCTAAGCTCAGGCCCAGGCCAGGCTGGCATTGAGGTTTCTGGAAAAGAAAGCAATTCAGCTTCCCCAAAAGCAATTTATTTCTGTATCACCTGATGACCATAGCTGGGCAGTTTATCCATGTGTCTAGCCTCAGTGTCTCATTATTTACTTCTCTGTAGTAAAGAGAAGTTATTTACTTCTCTGTAGAACTACAGGGGGTTGGGGAAACTGACATCCTAAATAGGAATATTAGAAGAATGGGAAGTTGGACTGGGAAAGGCCACAATCTCTAATCTCTATTCTTTTTTTCCATTCTACCAGTAGGTCTTGGCCTGAGCTATAGCCAGGCTGCATTTCCAGTCTTGTTTTTACAAAGCATGTTAGGGGGGAGGGGTGTTGAAGAGTGAACATGCTGAGTGGGCACTCTGTTCTACAGAGCTGAGGCCCAACCCATTTCCTGATACCTTTGCTCTAGCTCCATAATAACCCCTGACACAGCGCTCTGCAGTTTTCCTGCAAGGCCTGCTTATAGAAATCAAACCCTACTTCCCATCTTCCATAGAGATATGCCTGACCTTTGGCTCCTGCCTGACTCCCCTCAACCTGTTTCCTAGCCCATGGCAGTTGGAGCTGTCAGTATCTGACCTATCCCACCAGTACACATACCCACATTCATCTTAGGGGTGTCTAGAATACTGTATGGACAACCTGTTCCCAACATGCTTTCAGCTTGATCTCTCCTATAATGTGTATGTTTATGTCCCTAGCCCTGGACAAAAGCACTGTGAAGAAAAAAGGATCGCCTCATTCCCCTCTGTCCCTCCCTATAGTGCCTAGCATGGACAATGACACAGCACATGTAATGAACATCTACTGAGGTGAGAAAAATGTGAGAGCCTACACACTGGTCTCCCTTTAAACTGCTCTGTCTGGGAAAGAAGGGAATGGAGGTAAGAGGATTCTTTCCCAGCCCACTCTACCCCTCAGTCTCAGAAGCATCACCATCCCAACCAAGCACAGCTTTGGTCTCTAGGGTATGTGTGCACGCATGCATGTATGCCGTGTGTGTGTGTGTGTGTGTGTGTGTGTGTGTGTGTAAAACTTCTAAGCCTCCATCACTCCTCTAAATCAGAACCTAAACACTATCATAAGGCAAAAGCAATGGCAAAAGATAAATTCATGGGCAAGGATGGGCACATGTATCCTCCCAAATCAGGTCCATGCTTAACTTGCATGTTCCTATGAGCACCTGCATTGTTCCTGGCATAGGGAGGAAAGGAATATAAGAACACTTCTCCTGGCTCTCGGGGCTCTGTGATTACCTTGGACAATTAACATGGATTGCATAAGGGAAGCACACAGAGATCTAGACTCTGTTAAAGCCCCAGCAGGAGGCTTCTCAGGTCTCTCAAATCACAATCTCTTGAAGTAAAGCAGAGGGACTTGAATTTTCCTGAACCTCCCTGATTCATAGCGGGGTTGCAAGCCACTGACCTCTGCCTCAGAGCTACTCAAGAGGATTTCTACATTAATGGAGAGGTTCTTTTATCTGTGTCATTCTGTTAGTGCCCCCAGCCATGTGTATGAGCACTTGGAATACGCCTAGTGAAGTGAAGGGAATTTTACTTAATTCTTATTCATTTAAAATGGCTTCACACACAGGACAGGGGATGCAGCTCATTTGCCTAGCATACACAAATCCTAGGCTCTGATCTCAGCACTATATAAAACCAAATGTGGGCTATCCAGCATTCACAAGGGAGACTCTCATCTACATAGAAAGTTCAAGCCAAGGCTGGGCCACACATAAGATTTATTTATCAATCAATCAATCAATAGACTGTACATGGCTACTGATTGTTGTATCAGACCACAAAATTCCAGATGACCCTAAATTCTATACATTTTGTTTTTATTTTATAGAATCATTTGGTTTATGTGTTAGAATGTTTGTATGTTTGTGTATGTATGCCTGGTGCCCACACGCAGGTCAGAAGAGAGCTTTGAATTCCCTGGAACTGGAGTTATAGGCAGTTGTGGGCTGCCATTTTGGTACTGGGATTGAAATTAGATCTTCTGCAAGAACAAACGCTCTTAGCCACTGAGCCATGTTTCCAGCCACCCCCTATTTTGTTTGTTTGTTTTTATTTTTGGAGACAAGGTTTCTCTGTTTGTAGTCCTGGCTGTCCTGGAACTGGCTCTGTAGACCAGAGTGACCTTGAACTCGCAGAGATCCTCCTGCCTCTGCCTCTCATAGTGCTGGAATTAAAGGTGTGTGCCACCAACACCCAGCTCCATTTTATTTATTAAAGATTTAAGGCCAGACATGGTGGCACACACTTTTGATCCCAGTACTAAGGAGGAAGAGTCAGGTGGATCTTTAAGTTTGAGGTCAAGCTGGTCTACAGAATGAGTTCCAGGACAACCAGGGCTACAGAGAAACCCTGTCTCAAAAAAACAAAAAAAAATATTGTATGTGTGTGCTGGATGTGTATGTATTGAGTGTGTGTACATCAGCAGACAATATTGCAGGGTTGATTCTCTCCTTACACTTTTACATGAGTTCTGGGGATCTAAACAAGATTGCCAGCCTTGTGTGGTAAGCGCCTTTACCCAATGAGCCATCTGGACAATCCCCAATTTGATTTTACACTTCACTTCTCATGGTAACAGGTTTTATATGTGTGTTTGCACATGTATGTGCATGAATCTGACTATATGTCTATGCATGCCAATAGTGGCTAGAGGTTCACATCAGGTGTCTTCCTCAGCTGCCCTCCCCACTTTGTGTGTGTGTGTGTGTGTGTGTGTGTAGTGTTGGGTTTCAGTGCGTGAGTGTATATATGAAAGTGTATGTATGTGTACAAACCTATGTAGACCAGAGGTGTCAATCTCTATCACTGTTCTTATTTTTGAGACAGTGTCTCTCAGTGAAAACACAGTTCGCTATCCAGCTAGACTGACCGGCCAGCAAGCTCCAGCAATCTTGTCTCCATGCTGGGATTAGGGCACAGCAATTAGCCTCCTTCCCCTAAGGATACTCTTATCTGCACTGAGGAAAGCTCTTCTGATTTAATTGATAAAAGCCAGTCTGGTGGAACTAAGTCTGGACAGTTAGATAAGCACCCAGACCAGATTCCAAGCATGGGGGGAGGTGCTCTCCTGAGTGCACTATCTTATTTGAAGTTAACCTTGATGAGAGATAAAATGACTTTGCTGCTATGAACTGAATTATGCCCCACAAAATCCATATGCTAAAGCCCTAATATTTGGAGATAAATCCTTTAAATAAATGAAGAAGCATGAAAGAAAGGTTAAATGAAATCCTGAGGGTAAAGCGATAACCCAATGATTGCTATCCTTCTAGGAAAGAAGGGGGACATGATGGAGCCACACATGGCAGAAAAGCTGTGTAAGGGTACAGGAGCCAGCTGCTGCAATGAAGAAAGGCCTCACTGGAGCCTGAGCTGCTAACACTGTCATCTTGTACCTCCAGTGGCCAGAATTTGGAGAAAATAAACTTTATTGTTTAAGCCATCCAGACTGAGGTGTCCTTGTTATAGCAACCCCAGCAGACTTGGGACCCTAACCCTGACAAGTCATATTGGAGGAATCGAGGATGACTGCCTCGCTACAGAAGAGCATGTAGTGGCTCCCCCTTAGGAAGGCCTTTGAGACACCAAACTGGTTTCTATAAGCAAAGCAGCAAGGCCAGCCTTTCCCCTATTCCTGCATAGTCTCACTGCATGTTAACCCCTCATTTCCCACGCCTTCCTCCTAGAGAATTGCCTTCACTTCCTTTGCTGAAGTTTGGATCTTCAATGTTCCCCAGAAATCATGCCTTTTAGACTTGGCCACCAGCCTATTTTCCTACAAGGAGGTGAGAGAGTCTTTAAGAAGTAGAGCCTATGGTTGGAAGTGAGGTCACTGGGTATGTTCTTAGAGGGGATACTAGGACTCCAGCCCATATCTCTTGGTTTACCAGCTGCCACGAGGCAAGCAGAATTCTTCTACCATATACGTAACACTGACAGACTGTGCAACTGAGGGCAGAATCAGCACAGCCAAGTGTCCATGGGTTGGAAATGCTCAGATGTGAGCAAATAAATTTTTTCCAGTCTAGGGATGTAGCTTTGTGATAATATTTGCCTGACTGGGCTCCTTCATCCATGGGCTTCTAGTGGGTATTTCCATGCACCTGACTCTCCTCACTGGATTCTAAATTCTCAAAGATTAGCCTGTTGATCAAGACCCTACATGAGCTGGCTGTTTTCTCACTTTTTCTCCAACCTGGCCAGGCCTTCCCTAATCCCTTGAAAGTTCTCACTTTCCCAGTCTTCAAAACTCCCCCCACCAGAGCTTCTCCTCACCACCTCAGCTAAACATGCAAGAATAAACAGCTTTGCCTCTGCAGTTTTTGAAATGCTACCATAATGACCCATCCTCAGCAGCAGCTGCAGAGAGACCAGGAGATCACAGCAGGTGATGCTGTGAGGTGGTTCTGATGATAATCTGGACTCTGTAAAACTCTACCAGCTTTAGGGAGGTTCCTCAAGGTGATTGCTGTCACTCCAGATACCTGTTGCATTTCTGCCCACCTAGCTATAAATTCAAGCATTCCCAGAAACCCTTCAGCTTCAGTAATTTGCAAAACTAAACTCATGAAATAAAAACACTGTATTTATTTTTTATAGTTTATTCACAAATACAAATCACGGGCTAGGGATGTTGCTTGGTGACAGAGCAGTGCACACTTCAAATCCATAAAACCCTGGGTTCAATCCCCACAACTCAAAAATACAAACCAGAACCAACCACCCAAAAAGAAACAAACATACATGTGTTCACCAATCAGCAAGTTTGGCAGAAACTACTGTCTAGAGTTCTGGTCAGGGTCACTGTGTAGGTCTAATTATTTGAGATCAGGGGCCACTTGGTTGAACTCAATCTCTAGCCTTGTCCCATCCTGGCACTCAGGCTGATCACCCACCCTTCAAATTTCTACCCCTCAAAGCATAAAGCTGGTCTTTCTAGGCAGCTGGCCTCCATCATGAGTCAAAGCTTAACAAATCCTGCTGTTCTCTGAGGCTCCACCAGGAATAATAATGACACTTCTAGCTATCCCTGAGGAAACTTCAAAGATTTCGTTTCCTCTCAGGAACTAGGGATGGTTGATTAAAATGTTACTAATATTTAGAATGTTGGAGATGACTTGTTTCCCATGAGATAGGGAGACCACATGTTCCTCATTAAGGTAGTCCCAAGAACTGTGCCCATTGTGGTTCACTCTCTAGCCCTTATCACAGATCACCCAACCAACCATGCAGGAGACACCAGCCTTCCCATCAACCCCAACAGTGCCCCAAGTACCTGATGAACTACTGGACAGACCCCCAACCAAAAACCCCACAGCTTGGCTAGCACAATTAGAGGTCTGACATACCCCTCTCCAAGCTACCTGAGAAAGGTTTTTGCAAACAGTGAATAGGTAAGAAGAGAAGGGAGGAAATAGCCTAAAAGCAACATTCTCCCACCAATGAAGTGTGTAGAAGGGGAAGAGAGAACCAACACAAGAAGGCTTAGGAGTCTTTAATGCTTAGTCTGAAAAAATCACAGGCTGAAATCTTCATAACATTGGTCCTTCCCCAGTAAAGAAAGGTCTTCAGAGTGGACAGGAATTCCTTTGTAGTGCAATGATACCCCCAGTTCAGGAGGCAAGCAGGATGAGATTGTAGTGAGCACCTCTGCAAAGTGCTCTGCAGAGTGCTCTGCAATGCTCCCTCAGTCCTCACACCTCACACCAGTGCCAGGAGGCTGAACCCCCATTTTACAGAAAATCTTGAGGCTTAGAGAGGTTGTCGATAGGCATATCAGGCACATGCCTGTAATCCCAGCATTTAGGCAGGAAGATCACTACAAGTTTGAGGCCCATCTGGTCTACAGAGAGGGTGCCAGACCAGCCACTACTACACAGTGAGACCTTGTCTCAAAATGCAGAAGCAAACAGGATATGGTGGCATACCCTTTTAATCCCAGCATTCAGGAGACAGAGGTAGGACATTTCCTCTGAGGTCAAGACTGGATCTTGTCTCCATTATGAGTTATAGGCCAATACAATGAGACCTTGCTTCAATTCTAAAAACAAATAACAAAAACAAAACAGGAATTTTCGTTTTTCAAGACAAGGTTTCTCTCTGTAGATCTGATTGTCCTGGAGCTCACTTGTTAGATCAGGCTGGCCTTGAACTCAGAGATTCTGTGCCTCTGCTTTCCAAGTGCTCAGTTTAAAGGCATACACCACCTTTGCATGGCTGAAGGAGATTTAAAAAAAAAAAATTCACAGCCCTTATGGGGGAGAGGGGAATGAAAAGCTAGACCTTTCCTACTCTACCACATAGAAGTCTCCCTCAGATCCAACTTTAGTCTCCCTGAAGAAATTACATTTATTTATTTATTTATTTATTTATTTATTTATTTCTGAGACAGAACCTAACCTGATCTTCTTGCCTCTGAGTGCTGGGATTACAAGGGTGTGCCAAGATACCTGGCTAAGAAGTTCATCCTCAACATGGTGTCTGTCCTGGCTCCTGGGGGAAGAGGAGCCAGTTAAAGGCAGATGTTTTGTAAGGATAAGTAGAGCTTCTGGAAAGATTATCCTCTGGTTGAGGAGGGGAGGTGTGGAGAGGACAGATAAAGGGAGGTTGAACTCCATCAGTATACTTAATGCATGTGTGGAAACATCACACTGAACCCCACTAATATGTACAATTAGTGTCAAAAAAAAAAAAAAAGGCTGAGGTAGATCAGTGTTAGCTTTCCTAGTGTATGTGAGGCAGTGTCAAAAAGCATGCCAATTTAAATTTAAAAAAAAAAGAGGAAAGATTAAAATTAAAATGATTTTTCCTCCAAAACTTCAAATATGACCTCAGGCATCCCTTTCTAGGACTCTCTGCACACAGAGGCTCCCAAGGAAATGACGTGGCAGGTGAGTACAAAGGCTCACTTTCTGCTGATGCTGTGCAGTACAAGCCACTGGAGACACAAGGGTGATGCTCAAGAGATGGGAAGAAGGCCGGAGAGCTGCCCAGAGGTTGCCTGGCCATTAGAAGACAGTCAACAGGGCTGAAATGTTTCCTCCATCAGGGAGCCCAGAAAACCCTGTGTATAGTCATCTGCTACGTAAAACTGGGTGTCTAAGGTGTACAAGGCCTGGCTGGGCACTCATCAGTTAGCAGAGGCAGGAGCCCCAACTCTTGGAGTCTTTCCCTGGCCGCTGCCTCCCAACCCTTGTTGGCCTGTGGGCTTCGAGGCGAGGGATGCAGGAGCCCCTCCACCTGCACCTCTGGGCTTAGCCCTGCCAGAGCTTTTCGCGCCCGTTGCTCTGCAAGCCTCCCCACTCCCACTACCAGCCGCACCCCTAGCAGCTGAACCTGCCGGCAGAGGGCTGCATCGCAGATCGTCAGTAGCTGCTCCCGCTGCTTGGCTGGCAGCTCAGCTGGGGTAAGGTTTCGTCCGCTGGGAGCCAAGAAGAGCAGAGGACACAGATTGTGGACAAAGCAATGCCTGAAGAAGATATGGGGCTGTCCGCAGAGGTTCCGGAAAAGGCCCCAGAATCGGGCCCCGCTCACCTCTGACTGTGTGCACTCCAGTCCCAACACTGGTCGCTTAGGGTGCTCTTGGGGAGGGGTCAGCACAGAGCCCCCAACGCCCAACCAGTCCCGGACCACATTCACTTCCCCAAAAGGTACCTGTGGGGAACGAGATAGACACAAGGGGATTCAAGCTGAAGATGATGACTAGGCTGCGGTGATGATCTGCCCCCAACTTCACCTTCAAGTCTGTGTTATGGACTCCCCGCCCTGTCCATTTGTCCTCCAGTTTTTCCCACTATGAACTGTGACCAGCAGAAACTGTGTACCTTTACTTCCTCCAGGCACTAGAACCAAATACAGGCAGATCGCTGGGACATTTGGTCCTACAGAGGACATGATTCTAATACTGGTGACAGACAGATCTCCTGAGACAGAAAGTTAGCCAGGGTGAAAGAAGACAGGGCAGGCTGACCACTGATCTGTGGTACCCTCTCAGCCCAAGGCCTCAGGCTGTCATTTCCATCGATCATCATTGATCACCCTTCATCACTCAGCTGGGGTCAATAAAAGCGATTGAGCCTCCTGCCCTGAGGGTTCTTACCTCCCCCACCTGCAATGCACCCCTACTGAAAGGCAGAATGGCAGTCACTCAGCCGGATCCCTAAGGGAAAGCTGGCTGACCTGTGCCTGACTCTTGTTATGAACCTTTTGGAGAACCAGGGACTTGCCACCAGGATGCCTGGCAGCTCCTAAACCCCTATTCCACCCCCCAGCCAGTTTTCCTGGTGCATCCAGCAGTCCCAGCCCCTCTCCTGACTCCAACCACTCTAGAGACAAGGGAGATCCGGCAAGGTAAGGAAGGTATAGGGCAGGATGGCGGAAGGGAGGGCTCTCAGAAGCAATTAGTGGAGAGCTCTCAGGGAAACGGAACTACCATTAATGTGCTTGGTTAACTATGAACAGAGAAGAGAGAGTACTTGAGACCACAGGAACCAGTGTGTGTCTTGCAGGGGATGGGGTGGGTGACCCACCCACCTCCCAGCCAATTATATGTTCTTCTGCCACAGCATGCCCAGGCAAACATCCACCTCAGAACCACCACCACCCCCCCAGAGGAAGCTAGGCTTTACCCCAGTCTGGGCCATGCCAAAGGGTCCTGGGTTCATGCCCAGGAAGAGCACTTCCTTGGGACCTTGGCAGTAGCGAGTCACGTAGTTACTGTGTGGCTCCCAAGCATAATCCACTGGGTTATAGATGACACCCACAGGCTCTGGAAACTGCAGCTGACGAAGTTCAGCGTTGAGCCGAAGCTCCTCCTCCAGGAAGCCCTCAGCCAAGCTTCTAGTGCAAGGCAGAGGACCTGCAGGTTCATGGGTAGGCCCCAGCCGGAAAGTCTGGGACATGGCCATGCCGCTGTCACCTGGAAAAGAGGTATATTCCTTCAGCCTCAACCCAGGGTTAGGATCTGTACTAGCCAGAGGCTCTCACTATCGTTTCCTGGCTCAGAAGAGGTCCTAGGAAGTCCTGTCAGTCACTACAAGCTCACTCAAGCTCCTGGTAATGAAGGGACCTCTATTCCCACTTCCAGAGTCCTCCCTCTTTCTGATACAACAAGCATCCTACATTCGTTACTTGTCTTGCTGCAACAAAGTACCTGCAAAAGCAACCAAGGAGACATTCATTTCAGCTCTCAGAGAGTACAGTTCATCAGGGTGGGTCACAGCTGCAGGAGCATAAGGTAGCATAAGGTAGTGGACCACATTGCTGCCATGGTCAAAACTCAGAAAGTGATGAATGCCTACACTCAACTAGACCTCTCTTTCTCTCTCCCTTCTTTCTTCCCTTCCCCCCCTCCTCCTTTCTCTCTTCCCCTCCTCCTCTCCCTTTCCCCCTCCCCCTCTCCCTCTCCCAGCCCTCCCACCCATTCCGTTTTATGATATAGGTTCTCACTATGTAACCTTGGATGACCTGGAGCTCCATATGTTGACCAGGCTGACCTTGAACTCAGAGTTCCTCCCATCTCTACCTGGGAGTAAAGGTGTGTGTTACCACACCTGGATAGAGTCCCTTTTTATGCTGTGCTGGCTAGTTTACATCAACTTGACACAAGCCAAAATCATGTTGGAAGACGGATCCTCAATTGAGAAAATGCCCCCACCAGATTGGCCTCTGGTGCATTTTCCTGATTGCTGGCTGATGTGGGTGGGAGGGCTCAGCTCAACAGAGGCAGTGCCACCTCTGGGCTATTGATCACTAGAGCTATAAGAAAGCAGAGTGACCAAACCATAGGAACAAGGCAGTAAGCAGCACCCTCCATGCCTCTGCTTCAGTTCTTGCTGCTAGGTTCTTGCCTTGAGTTCTTGCTCTGACTTCCTTTGCTGATGAGCTGTCATGTGAAACAGCAAGCTAAAACAAACCCTTCCCTCCCCTGCTTGCTTTTGGTAATGGTGTTTTATCCCAGCAACAGAAAGCCTAGGACAGCCCAGGGCCCCTATCCCATGGCATGTGACCACACTCTTGAAGTTTAGTCTTCTCACCTCAGTTAGCCTAATTTAAAAACTCCTTCACCAACATGCTCAGAGATTCATCTTCAAAGTGATGCCAGGTCCTGTCAAGTTGGCAATCAGATATTAACCATAATAGTCACCCCAAACCTTCCATCAGATGAGGCCTGACGTACTCATTCTCAGGCCATGCTGAACACACAGCACATTTTCTTTCTTCATTTTCTTTTCCTTTCTTTTCTTTTTCCTTCTTATTCAGTGTTGAGGATTAAACCTGAATTCTTGGCCATGCTAGGCAAGTGCTCTAATACTAATCTACAATGCTAACCCTTTTTTTTTTTCCGTTTAGATGGTGAGTGGTATATCTCACTAAATTAGTCAAGCTGGCCTTGAATTTACCTTGGTGCCTGGGTTGGCCCTGAATGTGTGATCCTCCTGTTGCCTCAGGCTCTGAAATAAGTGAGACTCAGCCTACATAAACAGGCATGGCTACTTACAGATTTATTTTCTCTCTTTTTGGGGGGTGGGATACATTTCTTTAAAAAAAAAAATTTTTTTTTTTTTGTTCCAAGCATGGTAGTAATGCCTTTAATCCCAGCACTTCAGAGACCAGTGAATCTCTGTGAGCTTGAGATCAGCCTGATCTACATAGTGAATTCCAGAACAGCCAGTGCTATATAGGATACTGTCTCAAATAAAAGGAAAGGAGAGAAAGAAAAGAAGAAAGGAAGGAAGGAAGGAAGAGAGAAAGAGAGAGAGAAAAGGAACCACACACCTTAATCACAGCACTCAGGAGGCAGAGATGGGCAGATCAGCAGATCTCTGAGTTTGAGGCCAGCCTGATCTACACAGTGAGTTCCAGGATAGCCAAAGCTACTCAGAGAAACCCTGGCAAAAAAAAAAACAAAAAACCCACCCCCCCCCAAAAAAAAGAGCTATCTTAATTTACACGTGTGTGTGTGTGTGTGTGTGTGTGTGTGTACATGGCTAGATGAATGTATGCCACATATGTGTGGTGGTCAAGGAAGCCAGAAGGCATTGGATGCCCTGGAGCTGGAGTTAAAGGAAGCTGTGAGCTGAGGTGGGTGCTGGGAACTAAACTCTGGTTCTCTGCAAGAGCAGTGCATGCTCTTAACCACTAGGTCAAACCTCTAGCCCCTTCCTTATTTATTTATTGAGATAGGGTCACATGTCACCCACACTAGTCTCAAACTTGCTATGGAGATGATGATGGTCATAAACTCCCAATCCCCCTGTCTCTGCTTATTTTTGTTTGTTTGTTTGTTTGAGACAGGATTTCTCTGTATCTTTGGAACCTGTCCTGGAACTTGTTCTGTGGACCAGGCTGGCCCCAAATTCACAAGAAATCTGCCTGCCTCTGCCTCCCAAGTGCTGGGACTAAAGGTGTGCACCACCATTACCTGGCAAACAATTTTAAATTACATTTTATATATTTGTGTGTTCATGCACGTGTTTAGGCATACACATGCCGTGATACCTATGGAGGACAACTCATAGAAGCCTGTTGTCACTGTCCTCCATGTGGATGCCAGAAATTGAACTCAGTCTTCAGGCTTGGTGACAAATACCTTAATCTACTGAGTCATTTCTCTGGCTGGCCTCCACTTCTTAAGTGCTGGGATTAAAGCCTGCACCAGGCCAGGCTACGTTGTCAGGACACATCTACTGGCATCCTTTCTCTCCAATGTCATCCTTAATAAAACTAGTCCAGCCAGGATGAGCGTGTCCTGGAGATACTGTGCTGACAAATGAGATGCAGGTGCACAGCCACAGCCCAGAGACTTGGGAGGGCTAATTACAGCAGCTTCCAGGTGGCGAGCAATTGCTCTCCACCAGGTACACCTCATTGATCTTCATAACAACCCCATGAGGTGGGTATTATTGCTCCCATGTTACAAGCCAGGAGACTGAGGCTTAACAAGATCAAGCAAGTTGCCTAGGGTCATGCAGTTAGCAAGTAATGAAGCTGGGATTTGAACCCACACTATTACACTCAAAGCTATGCTCTTAACCACCCATGCCATTTTCCTTAGATGGTTTGATCAGCCACCCCACTAATTCTACAAGCCCCTAACCCCAGCCCAGCTTCTTTCTCACACTCAGGAATCCTCAGAGGTGAATAGGATGATTACCAGACTCTGAATAGACTCTTACAAGCTATGCAACCATGGCCAGAGCCTCGGGTTTTCACATCTGAATACTAAGGATAATAATGCCCACTTCATAAAGCTGCCTATGAATGGGAAGAGAGGAAGGAACTCAGCAGCAAGCCTTCTAAACTGCAACAGCTGTTCTCACACTGCTATGCACACCCAGAGCTTGTCCCTGGCCATTGCACTCACTTTCAAAATGCTCCTCCTACCCCAACTCCCAAAACTTTGCACAGGTCATATCTTTACAAACCCAACCAAATATGATTGAGTTAACCAGGACATCTACCAGCAGTCAACCAAGAGGGAGACCCAACACATCCAGTTCAAACTCACCCTTCAAGATGCAGCTCAAACCATCACCTTGGTGAAGCTTTGTTTCTTCAGTACACTGAAACATTATGCAGAGCCCAGCCCCACCCTAAAGCTAGGATTATAAAATGTTGAAGGTTTGATCTCCAGCTGGTGGCACTATTGAGAGACGGCTGAATAAATGAGGATGTTAACTTCATATGCTATTGGAAATGAAGCCTGGCTGGAGGACGAATCTGGGGAGTGCCTTGGGAGCCTCTGAAGGGTATATCTTGTCACTGGTCCCTTCCTGCCCACCCCCTACTTCCTGGCTAACATAATATGAGCAAACTTTGCCCTATATATCCATCTTTCCACCATGATGCTCTGTCTCAGTCCAGACCTGTAGCCATGAAAGGCCAAACAGCCAGGACTGGAACCTCTCAACTGTGAGCCCAAATCTACCTTACCTCTCTCTCTCATGATGTTTTTCTCAGGTATCTATCACAGCAATGAACTGCCTGGCATATCACACACACAAGAAAGTTGGCTGTGAAGCCAAGAGCTGCCTATCTTGAACAAAGTGATTCTGAGGCCCTGGTGAAGGCTGAGAGCCATTGGGTACTGACATGCTTCATGAATTCACCCTCCCCGGACAGAGTAAGAGAGACTGGGAGTCAGGTTCTATTCAATTCCCTGACACACAAACAATGTCCTAGATCTTAGGAACTAGACTCTAGGTACTCAACAGCCCCGGCCCAGCTCTATCTACCTCCACAGTATCCGTCTTGTTTAAAGCTGCCTTCCCGTGTCCCTCCCGTGCTAGGAGTGGAAACCCTGTGGCTAGGGGAGCACTTTACCACTGAGCTACCCCTGATTCCTAATGAGCCACTCCAGACGGGCTCCTCTGCACTACCTCACAAACCCAGTGTGGGAGAATGAGCCCAGGCCTATGTACAAGTTAGGCAGGTACTCTTATCACTAAGCTACTTCTTAGTGAGAAGCCTCTCTTCCTTCTCCTCTTCTCCCTTCCTTTCTTCCTTTTACAATTTACTTGTTTGTTCGTTTTGTTTTTGGAGACAGGGTTTCTCTGCATAACATTCTGGCTGGCCTAGAATTCACAGAAATCTGCCTGCCTCTGCCTCCTGAGAGCCAGAATTAAAGATGTACACCACCACCCAGTTAGACTTTACTTTTATCTTGTTATGTTTTCAGACAAAGTCTCACTATACGTATGGCCTTGGCTACCCTGAAAATCAACATGTAGACCAGACTAGACTCAAAGTTGTGACAGTCTTCCTACCTCCACCTCCTGGGTACTAGGATTACCAGCCAGTGTCACCACCATACCAGGCCTGGAACTGATTTGACCACGTAGGCACCCAGAACATTCTGGAAAGCTGAGAATGATGTGGTGAACTGGGGTTTCTGAGACCTTGGTCTTCCCTATGTGGAACCAATACCAGAAAGAGCATTCCTCCCATAGCAAGGGTGAGGCCAATTCGAACTACATTTAATTTTCTCAAAAAGCAAAAATCAGATGCTCAAGAAACGTGCCACACATTCGAAATTACATTTAAAAGCAAAGGGCAACCCTGAGATGCATGTGCTCGAGGCGAAACTTCATACTTGTATCCGACCTATCTGAAATTTCCCCCAAAAATTAACAGAATCCAAGCCACACTGGGCTAGAGAGGTGGCTCAGCAGGTAAGACCACTGGCTGCTCTTTCAAAGGTCTCGAGTTCAATTCCCAGCACCTAAATAGCGGCTCACAACAGTTTAACTGAGGCTGTAGGATCCAATGCCCTCTTCTGGTTCTCAGACGGACAAGCAAACAAAACACCCATAAGTAAATAAACCTAAAAAAAGAAAAAACAAGAATCCATGCCACTACTAGACCCTGCTCCTTCCTCTCCAGGAATCCACGGGATTTAAACCAAAATTAGCAGCGCAGCAGGGCTCACAGGGGCCTCTTTAGACCTTGGCGTCATAGCGCCACCACCCCTCCCGAGCCCCTGCTAGCGCCCTCCGCCCTGCTCTGAGATCCAGCCCCCTACTCCCTCACCTGCAGCAGCTCCCCATGCAGCTTCCGCTTCCTTTCTTCGTCCCAGCGCAAAGGACACTGGAAGTCGTAGTCAACAGCATTTAAATTAGAAGAATGGCTAGCAGCGTCCGCTTCCGCCGGAAATGCCCTAGTCCCCGGAAAGCTTGATAAATGAGCTCCTCGGGTCTCTGGGGATTGTAGTTTAATACTATGATTTAAATCAGGATGTCTAGGAAGTTAGAGGCCAGTTCATTCATAACAATCTGGACTCTCCAGCTATCCCTAATACCTCATCTACTATAGATCCTTCCCAGTCCCCCTGCTGCCCTAAGTTATGAGACCTCGCCTCTGCAGCCCTCTATAGGCTGTGTGCATAACACCCAAGGAGCCATTTCTCTCACCCCCGACTCTTTGACAATGAACCTCCCATTACCATTAGCGTCCAAATCTACAGCTTCACCATTTTGAACTGGCTCCTTCTTTTGTCTTGACATCTGCCAGCCTATATCCTAGATTGCAGTTCTCCAGAGAAGCGGAACCAAAATAATGTTTCTATCTATGTGGGGAGATGAGTGTGGAAATATACTCGCAGTTATATGGAACCTACTGTCTATAACTTGGAGAACCAGGAAAACCCTCTGTAGTTCAGTTAGAATCTGAAATGGTTCTACAGAAAAGCTTCTGATAGAAGCCTCTGAGATGGAAAGATCTGAGAACCAAGACCCATAGACCAGTTTCCATGATGTCTGAAGGCAGAGATGGATGCCCCAGTTTGCAAAAAGGCAGATCTGGAAGCTAGTATGGCTGATGTGATGGCACATACTTGTAATCCAACCACTTAAGTGGCTGAAGCAAAAGGGCGGTCCATTAAAGGCCAGCCTGGGCTACTCAGTGAGACTATGTGCTTCCAAAAGTGTGGCCACTCAGGGTAACTCCTGCAGATGGTCCCCGCACCCCAGCATTCCCGGCCAGCCTGGAGCATAGTGGGGAGGAGCACAGGACCACCAGGGTGTTCTAGTGGGCAGCTACCATTCGAGTACTTGCCATCACTTGTGAGCACCTGGCCTGCTGCACCTGGGAGAAGGGTGACCCACTCCACCTGAGACTCCTCCCATTGTCTCACCCTTGGCAGTTCCCCACCTCTCCTCCCTCCCCCAATATCCAGTGTGAGGGAGACAGACGGAAGGGAAAGGGGGCTGATGGAAGGATGGAAGGAATTAATTACAGGTCCATCACCCTTTCGGGGACCCCTCTCCCTGACAATTGTTTGGCTTTCCCACCTTTCCGGTTGGGTTTTTGTTCCTGTTTTGGGGAAGGGTGTTGTTATTTTGAAACAGGGTCTCCTCTCATCTTTGCTGTCTTGGAATTCACCATGTAGACCAGACTGGCCTGCTCTCTAGACCAAATCTGCCCCACTCTGTCTCCTGAGTGGGACTAAAGGCCCACATGGGCCACCACCCTAGTCCATTTGTTGCTCTTTACAGCCCCTAAGAACTCCAAGTAGGCCTTGGAACCATGAGTAAAGTGAGTAACTGTGAAACAGAGATTCTACAAAATCTCTCCCCACCTGCCTGGTGTGGTGGCTCTTGCCTTTAATGCTAGCATCCTGGAGGTGATGGTAAGCATCGCTGTGAGTTCTGGGCCAGCCTGGAGTGCATAGTGAGACCCTCATTCAAAAACAAAGACCAAAAAAAAAAAAAAAAAAAAAAGATGCTCACCACCTAATGTCAACTTCTGTAGAACTGAGTAACTCCCCTGTCCCTATGAGTCCTCTGACTCCTGGAAGCTCAGAGCAAGTCCCTAAGGAAAGAGAAACAGAGGTGTGGGTGAACTGCTAAGGCTGACCCTGATGACCTCTAGCCATCCCCCCCCCCCCAACCCTCTTCTCTTTCAGAAACTGTGGACTTGGAGCTCTGATAGAATAAAGGCATTTAGAAATGAGACCCTTCCCTAGTTGCCTTGCCTTCAAGGGACAGGCTGACAGTGCTTGATGGTCTTGTGAGGCAGGGGAGACAGTAGATCCTGGATGTGGCCAAGGGAAAGCTAGCTCTGGGTTGTGGAGCAGCCTCTGAGGCCCAGCAGCAGCTACTCTGCCTGTCTGTATTCTGAAGGGTTAACTTCTTTCTTGTTTCTTTCGTGTTTCCGCCTGCTGCAGGGGCTGTGTTGGGCCACGAGCGCCATCTATCGGTCTCTGGGTGAGCTAGTTTTGCCTCACTAAGACTTGTGTATTCCAAGCAGCCCTTGCTCTGCCAAGGACCTTCAGCTGCACAAAGCTAAGACTGCAGGCCTAGTTTACCAGGTGTCACCTGGCCACTTCCTTGGGGAACTCCAAAGGACTTTCTAGAGCTTCTGTCCACGCTCTGACTCCCTCTCTCCCAACCAAGTCTTACTTGAACGAATATTAGCATGAAAGCTGATAGCCCCAACCCAGGGCTAGTCACACTCTCCACTTACTAATGGGACCTCAGGCAGGTTACTTCACATCTCTATGCCTCGGTTAGCCCAGCTGTAAAATGGGACAACCCTTAAAATTTATCTCTTTCGTGACAAATTTTATTAAGGCCTGGCCCAGAAAGGCTGCATGGTTAGATCATTGTTGCTATGGCTACAGGCAGGGTTACAGGCAGATGCTGGGGCTGAGCACAGGACAATACTAACAAACTCATCCCTAGAGAGTTCATCAGAGACCACATCCTGCCTGGTTAGGTTTGGGACTGGGAGTCTGGGGCTGCAAAGTACCTTTCAGTCTCCAAAGGTCGGGAGAAGATTGGATGAAAGATCAGAAGAAAGAAGGGCTTTATGTAAGGGTGAAGGAAGGCAGGATATAGCTCAGTAGTGAACTGCAAATTAGCATGCACAAAGTCCTGGGTTTCCTGCTAGTGTACACACATACACACACACACACACACACACACACACACACGCACGCACGCATGCACGAGGCAGACAGACAGAGATGACAGAAAGAAAGGCAATAAGGAAGAATTAGCAGGCACATGAATGCTCTGCCATTCCCCACCATGGGTTTATGCACCTATAATGTCAGCACTTGAGAGACTGAGGCAGGAGGTTCACAAGTATGGCACCAGCCTGGGCTATAAACCCTGTCTTTAAAAAAAAAAAAAAAAAAAAAGCCAGAAAAGGGGCTGGTGGTATAATGACTCAGCAAGTGAAGGTGCCTGCCACCAAGCTTGATAACCTAGATTCCTAAATTCAGTCCCCAGAATCTACATCGTAGAAGTAGAGAACTAACTTTCTGCCAGATGTCTTTAGGGCTCTACCATCTTGATGGGCACACATTCATAAATAAATAAACGTCAAACAAACAAACACCAACCCACAAAAGTCCTGTTTGGGGAAGAGGAGAGCAGGCCCATTGTGAAGAGGAGGGGAAGGGGGGGGTGAGGGGACACCAGGGGGGAGGGGGAGCTGCATCCCAGCAGCCTGTCCTTGACTGAGAAACCTCAAAGGTTAAGTCCCTCCAGTTCTGCCTGGTGGGTAGGAGACTGGTAGAGGAAGCTGCCTACAGGTCCCCAGGCCCTATTCCCACCCACCTCCCAGAACTGGGGGAACAAGGAGCTGTGGTCATATCAAGTCATTCCCTTGTCTGTTCTCAATGCCTGCCTTCCACTATTCTGCAGAGAAATGGGTATGCAGATTTCCCCAAGGCGTGAGGAGGTAGATTTCCCCAAGGCATGTACAAATGTGGGCCTCCATTGGCTAAGGATTTACTCTGACCCTTAAACCCAAGACCACAGAGGTCAACTTTTGGGTTGAAATCCACTTAACTGGAGCAGGTGGCAGCTTCCTAGCCTTCCAGCTCCCGTGTCTGCTGCTCCTGGCTCTGGATGCCTGGGTACCCAGGAGAGGGGTGGGCTGCTTTGCTTGCTTGGGAAGCAATTATCTATCAGAGGAGCCGTCAGCTCACTGAGGCACTCTTCTCACTAATCGGATTTCATTGGGGCCCGGGGCTGGGGGGAGGGGGTGCTGAGTAATTTGGCTTGATGCAGTGGTGGGAGATGTCAGGGCTGGGAGGCTGGATAATCTGTCTGAGTGGTGTTAGAGTTGTCCAGAGCAGTTACCCTGAGGGGACCACACAGAAATCAGACAGACAGCATTTGGGGTGGGGTGAACTGACCCCCAGGCCTTGGAGTGAGAAAAATGGAGGTTAGATTTCGATTTTGCAGGCTGAGAATGTCTCCTGCCACTGAGCTGAGCTGAGCAACTAGGAAGTGGAAGAGAGATGATAAACTAGGGAGCAAGACCACAGAGCCAAGTGAAAGGCTGAGACCCAACATGTACTTTACCTCCCCCACCACCACAGCCAGACAGCTATTGAGGCCTCCCATGGTCCTCAAAGGCCACACTTACCCTGTCCCGCACCTGCCTTCTCCCACAGCCTCCCTAGGCCTATCTTCCTCTTTTTCTGTCCATATGGCCCCAGTCCAAAACCCCCTGTACTCCTCCCACTCCTCACCTCAATTCCACAGCACAGAACAGTCTTAAGGAAGCCAGCAACGGTAGCTAATCACTGTTGAGTCCCCTCCCACACCTGATACCAGAGTGCTTCCAGCAGGGTCCACCTCCCTCTCTGCCTTTCTTTCTCACCCTTTTGCTACAGTACTCTTGTCCCTTGCCTGGAATTCTTCTCGTGCCCTAAATCCCAAGGCCCAATTCCCCCCTATTGGAAGGTTCCCCTCTCTTTGCCGGTATGAGGCTGGTGACCCTTGGAACCAAGCCCATAGTTCAGTGTGTCTGTTGGTGCTTTAGAGCTCATGGCTCTGCCAGCCCACGTGTTCCTGGATGTTGGCACTTGCTTCTCTCAGGGTGCAGCCAGGCCTTTTGCCTGGTATATGCTCAGTGAATCCCTGTGCAGGGCTGGGATGGTGTCCTGTGTTCTACCCCCAGCAATGAAGGAAGAAAAAGCAGAGTGGGCATGGTGGCCCACACCTGCAATCCAGCACTTGAGAGGTGGAGGCAGGACCATCAGGCAGTCAAGGTCATCCCCAGCTACAGTCAGTTGTTATTTATGAGGCATTGTGTCAAGAACAAAGTGCCAGATCTGGGAGCCCAGTGTTCAGTGGCTCCCCAGGCTTCAGGGGAGAAGAGAATGTCAGAATCCTGGGTACGTACTGCTTCACCTGTTGGGGAGGACACCAGGCCCAAACCACAGGCCACAGGGACCTTGTTCCTTCTTCAAGGGGGTCAGCCCCCCTCTCCCACCACCTTCCGTCTCAGGTCACATCTCTTGGGCAGGGTGGCCCCCACCCTCACCCGTTATAGGCAGGTTGAAGCGCAGTCCAGGCACCCTAGGAAATAAGCGGAACCGGATGCAAACCCGCCCCAGCCCTCGCCCAGGAGAGAGAACGCAGGAGCATTGGGTTCCCGCAGCCCAAGCTGGCTTGCATATATTTGCATGC